GTAAATAGCTAAATAGTCGTCAACTTTAACGTAGTGATTTGATAATTACCACTCTACCCTCCCCCCCCCCCCCCCCCCCCAAAAAAAAAAAAAAACCTTAAAATCAATTCCCTCTAAGTTGATTTGATTTGGAGATCCAAAAAACCTCTAAATTCCACCAAAATATCACCCATCAAAATGGACAGTTCAAATTTAATGTTTGGACACATTAAATTTGGAGCGTTTTCTTATCTCCAAATCAATTTCAAGTTTTCTTTTTTGAGAGGAAACTGTTTTTCAAGTGTGAGATAATGATTCAGCACTTTATTAGGTTCCCACCACACCTCAAAAGTGGTTTTTGCAGTGGAAGGAGCACCTAATTTGGTGCTCCCCATTATCTAATGCATAATTATAATGTACCATGACGGCTAGCACAGTGTTCATGATGGATGCAGACATGAGTTCATGCCTTTGTAACATGGCTTGCTATACAGTAGCAAAATGAAAGGATCAGATTAAGAGGGTAAGTGAGAACTAGAATTTTTGATTGAGAAAGTTCCTTGTTAAGATATTTATTATCATTTCCTTCTAAAACATCTTTGATGTTGATTACTACCTCAATTATATTCCTGATATCACAATGAACAGTTATTATACGTGACAAAAAAAATCATCATTCAGCATTTGGAACCTAGATACATGGCAGGGAGTACCGAAAAGCATCTGAAAATTAAGAGATGAGAAGAATATATTCTTCCTAGCTCTTACCCATGGCCATGATCTTGCACTGCTCTTTCATGGCCACCAGCTGTGCTTCCTTCAAGTCTAACTGGGCGACCAGCCTGTCATTCTCTTTAAGGAGGGTCCACACTTCTGCCTCATTTTGCATATTCATACTCTCCAATAATGTGGTCTTGGCAATCAACCTGTTCCAGGAGATAACTTTTAGCACTTGAAATATAAAACAACGAGAAGAACAATCACCCATATCACACATCTATTCTAAATACTCCATATTACACTCACTCAGAAAACTGAGCTTCCTTAGGTTTTTTCAAAAAGACCAGGGCAGCAGACTGTATGTGAGCAGAAATGTGCATATTTTTATGACATCATAATCATGATTAGGATCAGAGTTTCATACTCAAGTTTTTAGTGAGAATCAATCAGATCCACAATCAAGTCGACTGAGAAATTTCTTTAGGATAAAAATCAACTCCGAAAGTTTAAAATTTATTAGAACAAATGAAACCCAAACATGCAGCTGAAAGTTCATCAGAGAGAGAGAGAGAGAGAGAGATGAAAAAGAAACTAAAATACAAGCAAAACCCCAACCAAGTCGGTAATACTCATGCGACGTCTAGGCCTGTCATCCCTTTAATATTGGACTGCAGTGACTCGACACAGACATTTACTTAATTTCACATAGATAAACAAAAAGATAAAAGTGGACATGCAGCCATACCTTTCGAAAAGCTTCTCCATGGTCTGAAATTGCCTCTCAGAAGATAAAAGTGTCTCCCTTACACTGATAAGCCCTCTCACACTCGACCTCAGATTCTCAAACTCCTGCCTCACTCTGGAGAGCTCCTGCTCATTCTCAGAGGCCCTCTGCCTCTGCCTAGATGTCTCCCTTTCCATTTCCTCGAGCTTCATCTGCATATCTCTCAAAATGGCATTGGTCCCCATTGCCAACTTCCCCATCTCCTCCACCCTCAATGCCATGCTCTCTATCTGGACTGCCTTCTTCTTGATCTCTTCTTGGGTCAAACTCACCTTCTCTCTCTCTGTAGAAGTTTCGCCTTCTGCAATGATCACTCTCTTCACAAGGGATTCCATCACATCTGTAACCAACATCACTGATTTCATAATTTGTGCAACATATTCACCATCATGTTCTCCTAAGGACCCCTCTTTTAGCCAATTTTCTTCCCCAAAACCTTCATAGTGAGAGAGGTTGATTCCTTTAGACCATTCGGTAAGTGGAGTCCCATCTTTGTCAATATATCCAACGCCCTCTTGGTGCCTAATACCACAAGATGTATGGGCTAAGTGGGGAATAGCCATTATTCTAGCTTTTGATCTTAGGTAAGCCAGCAAAGTGTTTGCAGTTTTGACCCTCCGCCAAAGGATTTCAGACTCCTTCCTCTCAGAGTTTGAGACACAGACCTTCACCTCAGTTATTTTTGATTCTAGGGCTTCCTCCAAGGAATGCCTCTTGTCCAACTCTTGCTGCCAATCAATCCTCAATTGATGGAGCTGAGACTTTAGAGCCTCAAGGTCTCCCTCTTCCTCCATCTTTGACCCTAGAAGCCTTCTTAAGAGCCACTATCTCACTTCAAATGGGAATAAAACACAAAATAATACATGTCAGAACCTTAGAGAAAACTTTACGTATTTTTACTAACCATTAGTTCGGTAATTGCTTAAAATTTTCTCCAGTTTATCTAAAACACAAGACCTTTCATTATGAAAATGGAAGTTACATAAACTAAGTTCTTCATATGAGGATCTCTTTCCCCATGTGAACATGAAGAACATAAACAGCTATATAGAAAGTATGACAGCCTCATGCTGCCTTTTGATGGACGAAAGCAAATTTCTAAGCTCATGACAGTCAATAAAGAACAGTGCATGCAAATGTGTCAAGAGAAAGAAGAAAACCAATAAATACCAATACATAGTCAGTAGTTTCATTGAAGGAAGTTGATAAATGATAACCCAAGTAGCTAGGATCTCCCAACCTAGTTGGCAATCCTGCTTGGAATCTTGCTCAGGCACTCCAGGAAAAAGATATTCGAGGGATCTCGATTTTTAAAATTTGGGATCTCGATCCCCACTACTAAGGATTTTGATGCATACCTTAAAGACCAAGATAACAACCAAACTGATGATTTTTTTTATTTATAGCCAATTAACAATGCAACTATACTAATAATATAACACATTGCTTGCTGGCTATAAATTAGGGATCCCTATAAAGTATATATAGTCCTAGACCATATACATTCTTTAAGGTTGAGAACAAGACCCCACCAGGTCAAGTTGTCAAGACAAGGTTGTGAACCCAAAAGGTCAAGATCGAGATCTCTATCTCTATCCCTAACATTTGGGGATCTTGATCCCTAACATATGCCTTGTACAAATGGTGCATAGGACCTTCTAGCTTTTCACGATCCACTGCTCCTAATCCGATCTTGATCCTGATCATGCTCCCGAACCCAACAACTACGGTGATAACCATTTGATACAAGTTCATTGTCCACAGGACAAACACTGAAAACTTTATCAACTTAGACCAATACTGGCAGGTTTGCTTCTGGCTGGGGAATCAAAAAGCTGTGAAGAAAACACAAGAAGTGCGCACATAGGATTGACTGTGAAAGGAAATAAAGCTCAAGAGTATGATACTATTTCAATGTAGGTTGAAGAGAAGTTGCTAGAGTGGTTAAGATATTGGTGATACGCTATGATGAACACCAGGATGAAATTATTGACCTATTCAGGATGTTAGATAGATGTGAAAAACGACTGGGATTAAAAGCAAGAGTAAGTGATCTAAAAAGAAGGAAATAGAAATTAGAAACTAAAAATACCTGGTCTCCAGTGTAAACTACAAAGGGGTGGCAAGGGGCATATGCCACTGAAGAAGAGGAGGTAGATCAAGTAGGGGTAAGATATACTAATCATCCTTCTATAGAACATCAGGGATCTTAGTTGATTCAAGAAAAGGCTGGCCATCAAAGATTTTGCATTCGAAAAATAAATTTGATGTTGTCGATACATGAACCAAGCTTGAGAAAGTGGACTAAGGTTTTTATGAAATCGATTTCAGGGAGAATAAGATGTAGTCAGATGGCTCCATTTTTAATATAGGAAAAGGATGTTGTTGTGATTTGGGACATGGGTTGGTTGAAGACTACCACGTGAGTTTTGTCAGTTAAGCAGCAAGCTTCAGTCTCTTGCAGATGGTTTCATGTGGGCGACTACAGCTGTTTACAAGCTGAACAACCTAAGAGTTAGAGAAATAATTTTTGCCCAGAACGACACAGTAATTCTTAGATGGGAAGGACCATGTGTGTGCATGCATGCATACCCCCTTAATCATATTACGAAAGGTAAATGCAAAATTTGAATAGAAGAGCAAAATTTGAATGGAAACTCATAACGTACAAAAGATGGAATTCTCCAAAAAATTTCCTAAAATGTTGTTATCATCAATTTTATATTTTCATGTATATTTGAAATGCACTTTACCAAGCATATAGAGAAAATTTCTGTGACTCATTTGGGGAATGAATTGCACTCAGCCTAGACAGTTATGAGAAATTCATCCCAAGATCACACTTTAGACAGCTCAACTTGCAAAAGGTTTGACTCTTTTTTTGGGGGGGCGGTTAAATGATAACTGAATTCATTTATTCAAAAACTTGATGTGCAAGTATGTTTGCGGCCTATTTGAGCCTATTAACAACAGATGCTTAAGTATACTCCTAATAACTAGAACAAGTAACTACCAACAAAGCAATAGAGAGCGATTCTAAAAACACAATCCTCTGGGCCTCAGGCTCGCTAATTGTCCCTGGAGACTCAATCATATCTTCAACGAGATCGCACACTTGTGCAGGGCAATACACATTAATTGGATTTTGGAAGCACATATTCAGGGACGCCAATGAAGTGGCTGATTCCCTAGCCAGGGAGGGAGTGGCACTCAACAACCATGGATTTTCAGCAATTTTTTAAGTTCTTAATCCCTGTTTTTGGTATACTTCAACTGTGTTATACTTGCTGTAGACCATTATTTGTTGGACTCCTTTTGGGTTTTTGTATTGGGTTTGCCTCTCTTGGGCTGCCTAACAACTTTTGTATTTCTTTTATACATAATACAATGGGCAACATATTCCAAACAAACAAAAACTAACTACCAACGAGATTCCTTCAAGAAAATGTCTGCTATGTCTTTCAACTCTGCCCATGAGTTCACCATAGTAATTGGAGCATACCTAACCTATTTGAAATCTCCTTGAAAAATGTTGATTAAGCACCAGGGCAAGTGTACTCACTTTTAGCCCTGAGGCTGCCAATACTAGAACCTCCCTTGACAACTATTGGAATCCACCTTGCGTCAAGATTTTGAAACCAATAAGCAGAGACCAGGCATCTATAAAATTGAGCCTATTAACAACAGAGTATAAAGTGTTCTCCTAGTCACTCAAAACAAGTAACTACCATCGGATGTTTCAAGATTCAAGATTCCTTCCCTCACCAAAGTGCCCGCTAAGTCACTGGACTCCTCCATAAGTTCACTATAGTCAATTGAAGTTTACTTGAGCTCTCCCAAATCTACTTGAAAATGTTGATAAAGTGTCAAGGACAAGTGCCCTCTCCTTTAGCCTAGGCGATGACATTACCAGAGTCTACCTAGACAACGATAGGGGTTCACCTTGTGTCGAGATTTCTGAGCAAAGACCAGACATTCGCTTCCTTAAATCAACAAATATGTATAGGGAGTTGAATATGCCATCAATGTTTTGTGTTGGTGATATATCACTATACCTCCAGCACCAACTGGCCAGGGGTTCCTTTGAGAATTCCCCTCAAAATTCATATTACTCGTCCTTCGTGGAGTCCATTCGCAGATCTTAGCAGTCTTTTGGCATTAGCTTTCATAATGTCCTTCCAGTGATTCTCAAACTCTGCTGCTGAGAGGATCCAAAAGTCTTTTTGCAATCTGTCCCACAAGGTGACTGTTGGCTTGATCTTTCCTATCCATTCTATCCTGGGTCTCTTATCCCTAAAGCATCTATTGTTCCTCTTTTCCCATATTACCCATACTATAGCCATCATTGTCATTCTCTACAAGATAATGCCGATGTAATGGTGAGCTAAACCACTTCATAAGTAAAGCCTCAACTTAGGTAGAAGTGTCCCAACTAATATCAAACAAAACCAACTGAAGACCAAATAGCAGTAGCATGGGAACAATGAGAAAACAATTGATCTACTATTTCATGATCAGCTTTACACATAAAGCTGATCATTTGGAATGGCCATACCTCAGTTTTACAAATGGTCCATTGAAAGGATTTTATACAGGTGACCAACCATTTGGAGGCCAGTGTTTTCAGAGGAATAGAAATAAGCCACACTTTTCTAACTCTGAGATTAGGATCTTGATTCCATCTTATGATGTGGTGTGTGGTTTTCACTAGGAAAACCCCATGGCTATCAGAAGCCCATATTAGAAAGTCATATTTACATGCGAAAAACGTAACTTCTGTAGTTCTGCCAGCGGGATCTTAAAAGCCTTGAATTCTTCCTCCTTGAGTACCCTTCTTAGACATGGGGTCCAAGTGGCATGATGCCTAGATTCTTCAACTACTTCTGCCACTGTTACTTCTGGTTTTGTGGCCAGACTAGATCATACAGGCCCCGAAATCAAACATAGCAGCTGCTCCCCAAGCCACAAGTCCAATCAAAACCTAGTTTCCTTTCCATTCCTAGCTGCAGCCTTATGTTAATTATAAAAAACACGTGACAGCTGTTTAAGCTATTCCAAATACTTTCCCATTCTCTACATTGCATGGACATGGATACTTCAGTTAGCATCTGACAGGTAAGGGCCATCAGATATTATATTTTAAGACAACAAAATCCAACACCGTTCAAAAAGTTCAATTATGCCTTGGTTGAAACGATAAATGTTTCAGAATTCATATATTTCTCCTTAAAACAAAAAGAAAAAAGAAAAAAGATCAAGTCTGTAAAATGATGTAGTTAATGTAGTTAATGGTTAGTAAACAAGAAGCAACATCCAGAATAACTTGTCTCATGTGTGTCAGTACGTGTCCGACATGGGTACGGCACCAAAAGAAAAGAATCCAAGTAACAAATTCTATACTAGTGTTACTTAACCGGACTTGACCAGTACATCAGGACAAGTGGCCATTCCGGTCTGGTCTAATCATGTGGACCGGAATGGCCATGGAACCATTGGATTGACAAGTCTACTGGCCGGTGGGTCCACCTGTTTGTGACCGAGATTGCAAGTCCAATAAGTACAAAAAAGGCAAAAAAACCATGCTTTTCCAATTTTGGGATCTTTTTATGCTTTTTAGGTGGACTAGTGGCCATTCCGATCTGGTCTGACCCCCTATATGGGAATTGCCATCGAACCAGTCAAGAACGGGTGGATTGGCTGGTCCAGTGACTGGACAATTGGACCACCAGTTGAGACTAACCCCGGCAGTCCCAAAAAGAGAACAAGAAATGCCCCCATTTTTTCCAATTTTGGGGTCTTTTTTACATGTTTCAGGTGATTTTTTTGGGCATTTAAATTTAAGTAGGGGCATTTTGGGTACTTGTGTTAAACAAGCAAACTCAAATCTATGTTGGAAGAACACCATCAGAGAACCATTTTTTACTATGTCAATAGAAATGCTAGCCATATTTGATTTCCCTTTTTTCTAATAATAAATTGATCTCCTTTAGATACATAAAACTACAAATACTTATAAACTACCACTTAGAACCATAGGAACATCAAAACAAGAGCATTAGAATCAAAGAACTGGTTGAGAACAGTCGTTAATTAAATTAAGCGACTATATAATTGTCTTAGAGGTGTCAAATATTCAATTTAATAAACTTACCAAGATATTGTGAAATGTCATGAAAACATCATAACCAATAAAGTAAACTTCGAAGACGACCTAATGGACCGTCATGGTGTCTTGTGGTTCATGGGTGTTTAAGGTCTTGGGTTCGATTCCTTGCTTTGGCGTCCCGGATGCACTGCCCGAGAATCTCTATTCTAAACAAAGTGACCTCTGAAAATAACATAAATGTTTCTTTTGAGATGTCTGATCAATGTAGTAAGTATGAACCACCAAGTTTAAATTATCATACAACAACATAAAAGGATCCCAACTTAGGAAATTTGTGCAATCAAAGAGAAAGCTCTATGGAATTCTAAAGTAGTATAGAACTATTCATGGTAACATTTTGAGGACAAAGCTATACCATAGCCTGGAAAAAATCTTAAAGTCCCAAAATAATATCTTTGAATAACTAGTCCGGATTTTCACAAAAATTCATGGTGCCTATGCAATGTCCTATCCAAACCTAAAGATAATCCATTATATTATCTCCACATAGAGAAATAAGGTTCGAACCGTCCAAAATGACATTTTTCTTTATAAATGACAAAAGACAACATTTTACATTAAACCCAGAAAGAATCAAACAATCTTTGTGAAACACTTGAGATGGGTAAAGAATCCTCAACATAGCTTAGGAATATGCTTGCAGAAATTCTAGAAAACGATGAAAATGAAGTTCTTAACATTCTAAAATTGCCCAGAAACCTTGGATTTTCAAAAATATTTTTGCATTAATTGCCTGAAAGTATCAACAGGTACCCAATAATCCTTAGGCCACATTCCATGTATGAAACTTTATTCTTTTAAGCAATCACATAATATATTGCTATGGTTCAGTGTTTCCGTCAGTTCATATTTCTCATTCAAAATGGTCTTACAGCTTATATTACAAAGTCCAAGCCTTTATACAAAATAAGCCTGTAATCAACCTAATATAGTGAGCATGAATGAAAATATCGACCAAAAAAAAAACAAAGAGGGAGAAGGACTGATGTCCCTGATAAAGCCACCAAATAAAAAATAAATAAATAAAATAAAAGAGAGAAGAAAATGAAAGCCGTTCAGTATACCCTCAAGCCAAAAACATAAAAATTAAAATTTAAAAATTAAAAAATTAAAAATAAAATAAAATAAAAAGAGAAAAGGACCCAATATTGTGCGCATGATCATCATAATAGAAAAGAAAAAAAAAAAAAACTCATAACAGCATGTCACATTTTTTTATTTTTTATTTAAAGACAACAGCATGTCACATTATTTGGAGCTTTTATATGGGTTTTGCATAAATCTCAACAAAAGGGCCTCCAAATTAAATTCTAAATGATCATTAAACGTCAAATAATTATAAATAACTCAAATGAAAACCCGCACATTTACATAGAGGATGGAAAAAACTGAAAATAAAAGCAAGAGCAAAACAAGCGTTCATGAACCTGATCAGATATAAAACAGGATAAAACAACCAGAACTGAATCTCGTGAAAATACCATTCATACTCCATGGACCGACGATCCAAGGAAATAACAAAGAAGTCAGCAGAAATGGCGATCACCTTTAGGGCAATAACCTTTGGAGGAGTAGACAAAACGCTACAATATATTAAAGATCCCAAAACCGATAATTTGCGACTCTTGAACCTTGCAGGAAATTTCAAGAACTCTCTCTCTCTCTCGCTATCTCTAACCTAGCAGGAAATTCAATAACTCTCGCCCTCTCTTGCAGAAAGCCTAGGTGCGAAAAGGATGGTGCGTTTCCATCAGGAATAAGGGCTTGTATCTTTTTCAGTTTTTATGTTTCGAAGGGAAGTGTCCCTTTACACTCAAGCGTGCTCCCGCGGGAGCGCGGTGTGTTTTTTCACTTTAATTAACGTGCACGTATACTTTATTTCTTCCGTAACATAGTTCAGTTCCACTCCCTTAGTTAAAAACTCGTTAGGGGGACTGCTTCCTTTTTTCATATATATATATATATATATATTTTTATATATATATATTTATTTTTATTTTTTTATTTTTATTTTTTTTGAAAAAGAAGAGTGATGTAAATCAGGCTTAGCAGGAAATTTGCTAGCAAGTTCCTTTCCCTATTCACATGAGAAAAAAGCACAAAGGTATAAAGGATTTCTTTTGAGCCATTTTTCAAGAAATGAAAGAGAGGTTAGTGCACTACTTAATAATATTAGAGGAATTCCCCTCAATGATCACTCGAGAGCAGAAGCTGTCTAAGCTTGTCACTCCATGCTTCAAACTACTGGGCTCTACTGGGCTCAACCTCAATTGCCCGGCAAGGCCGGACGACTCCATTCAATGTCCAAATAATCCCCCTTCATGTTATCTAAGTACGACCCATAGCTTGCTCTTTCTGCATTGTCTTTAACACTAATATCAAAGTTAAGTTTCACCCAACCAATAGAGATGGGGGATTCCATAACGAGGCCTTCTTAATCTTAAAAAGTCAAGCTTCACCCAACCAATAAAGGTGGTGGGATTCCATAACGACATCTTTGCAGATTTTGAAAAACAAAAATTGATCTAGGTTAGCCTCAAAGTGTTTCTTAGGGAGCCCCGTTAATAAGGACTGTGCCCAAAAAATTAGGTCTTTGAGGACGATTGTTTTTAAGATATCCAAGTTGTTTTTTGCATGTTGTCACTCCATTCAGTATTTTCATTAAAACCAATCCCAATTTAGAGAAAAGCAATGAGAGGGGATATGCAAGAAGAAGTGGTGAGCAATTTTTAGCATAGTTTGAAAAAAAAAAAAATTGTATAGAATCCTGATTCCTCGTATTATTTTATAGTAGATCCTCTTTTAATTTTTCTTTCAAGCGGTATAAGAAAATCCCTGAAGATTTTACCACCTTCTATATTTTATTTTTCATTTTATTAACTTTTGATCATAAAAATTAGCTCAAACAAATCTTTTTATACCATTTCAACTCAAATACGTTTTTAATAAGTGGAAAGGAAAAAAGAATGTTCAAAAACTTTTTGAGATAAAATGGTATAAAAAGATTTGTTGGAGCTAATTTTTATGTTCAAAATTCAATAAATGAGGGAGATAAGAGATGAGTGGAAAATGTAAAATTCTTAAATATTTTCTTATGCTGTTTGAAAGAAAAACAAAAAAAATATCTACCACGAAATAATACGATAAATTAATGTTCTACATGAAATTTTCCCATTGAAAAAACCCACTCCCATAAACTTGCAGCCAAAAGGCAATAAAGATAAAGATGATCAATTAGTCTAGCCTGCCTCCTTATAGAAAATACAAACGTTGGCCAAAATCATTCTCCTCTTATGCAGATGTTGAATCAAAAGTATGCGGACCCATCCCACTTACCAGCCACATAAATGCCTTAACTCGATAAGGCATATTACAATCCCAAAATTTCAGGGCAGAGTCTCAAGAAGAAACCATCAAAACATTACTCCCACATGATTCTATCAGGAGAATGGAAGTGGCTATAAAGATTATCGAAAACGTCTTCAAATTGATTTGCTACCTTCGGTATCTCAAAGTAATGTCCCTAGTCAGCCTATAGTCTTCATAAAAAACAACCTCAGGGACCAATAATTTTTTTGTTGGCCAACATCATGTAAATTTTAGGGTACTTAACTTTAAGAGAGCAATCCCCCAACTATTTAGTGGACCAAAATTTAGTCTTATCGCCATCCCCCCACCAAGATTATGCTATATCCAGGAAAAAACCCCTGTATTTGTTAATTTCTTTTCAAATCACTGGCACTCTGTCGGTCCTGTTTCTAGAAAGAAAAACAAATCATCGACACCATACTTATTGAAAGGGACCTTCTTCCATGATTGCATCCTTCCTGAAGCTAACCTCCACCATCACTTAGTAAGTAAAGCTATATTAAAGAGTTAAAGGCTTCGCAAACCCATATCCCCTTATTTCGTTAGGAGGCACACCTCAACCCATTTAACCAGGTTTAACTTCCTTTTCTTAGAGCTTCAACTCCAAAAAGAAGTTTCTCATAAGTTTCTCCAACTTCTTTTACGACTGTTTTAGGGGCTTTCATTGAAAAAAAATAACACACTGGAAGGTTAGACAAAACCGGCGTTAATAAGAGTGATGCTAACCCCTAAGGACAGATGCCTTGTCTTCCAAGAGTCCAGCTTAAAATTACACATTTTCACTAGTGGGTGCCATGTCGCAATATTCAGTCTGCTATTCACCAAACGTAGGTGGGCATTACCTCTTATTTGCAGCCCATCCAATAAGGCTCTCAGGAAATGGTATATTGAGACCTATTAAACTAGTCTTTGCCATTATTTTAGCACCAAAAATCCAACTAATAGCATTTTAGGAACAACCATGGGTGTTTAACCTGATCGAAAGACCCCTTAAGGGATAACAATGTATCACCAGTATGTTGAAGATGAGAGACATTGGGACTAGAGACAAGAAGACCTTGCAGCAAACGATTTTCAGTAACCCCTTCCAACATGAGACTAAAGGACTTCCCTACAATAGTGTATAGGAAAGGAGATATAGGGCCCCTTTGTCTAAGACCAGTGAAGCTTTAAAATATCCCACTGATTTCCCATTTATGAGTATTGAAAAATGAGACGAGGGTAAATACAAAGGTAATATTGTATTTACCCCAAAATATACCACATATTGTATTAACCTCAAAATATACTTTCTTAACAAATATCCTCCTAACCAAAAATAAAATAAAAGAATGACTAAACTACTGTACCTTGACTTTTACCCATGCCTCTCTCTCCTCTGAACAAAAGTGCGGTCTAGCAGATATACATGGCGGTCCGATACTATTCTTTCTGGATAATTATACAGTCCGAGGCAAATGTATATTGCAGTCCAACACTTTTTCTCTTGGACAAAATGGGGTCCGACATATCCCTATAGTGGTATGGCACTTATGTTCCTAGACAAACATGCGGTCCGACAGATCTATACGCCGGTCCAACACTTTTATATATGCAATCCAACAAATCTATATATGCGGTCTAGAATATCTATATATGTGGCTCGACATATAATGAAGGCTATCCAACATTTTTTTTAGTTTAACGGCGTATGGCAATTGGTACATGGCGGTTTGGCAGCCCATGTAATTTTTAGTACTATGTGTAAGCCCATGTGAATGTCCGGCCAAAATTAATTTTTTATGTACGAAAAATGGTATTTTCATTAAAAAAATATACTTTTTTTTTACTGGAGGTATTTGTTAAGAAAGTATATTGTCGGGTAAAAAGTGGAAAAAGAAGTTTGGTTGGGGGTAAGTTGCATAGGAAGTTTATTATTTGGAGGTTTTTTTTTTTTATCTTTAAAAATACTTGTTTTATAGTTAGTTCATTTTTTAACTCTTAACTATTTACTAGTTTATTTCTAACATGATTCTTGCTTTGTTGAAGAAAAGATGTTACGTTACTTTGATAGGAGTTTTTACTATGGGTAGGAAATACTTTTATATAAATGTTTTTTATATTTTTAAAACTTGTTTATATTTAATAAATTATTACTATATATGTAACAATCCTAAAAATTTCAAAAAAAAAAAAAAGAGAAAAGATGCTTTTAAATAGGTGATGATCTGTTTGAGTATGATGGTCCTTGAGGACCATCACTATTTTCAAAAGTTTTTACTTGGTTTAAACTTTTGCTTGCTGCTTTTACCTGCTTTTGCTTGCTACTGCTTTTGCCTGCTGCTGCTTGCTGCTTGCTGCTTGCCACGTCCTTTAGTGGACGTGGTTTTCGTATGTTAAAAGCAGACTCTTAACGTGACACCTCAGGTATGAGGTAGAGTGTAATAAAATAATATAATAATACGTTATAAGAATTTAAATAGGGGAGGTGAGCACTCCCACCCTAGAAAATTTTGAGATCTCTCTCTCTCTCTGGTCGAAACACAGTGAACTCCTCTCTCGAACCGAATTTTTATCGGAAGCTCCCTCTCAAATATTTGTGAGTAAGTGACATCGTCTCGCTGAAAAATAGTCTGTTTTTAATAAATAGTGATATTTCCGTCCAGGATCTTTATTTTATAAGTTTTGTGTGTAATTGACCCCATTGTCTCGAAAAATAATCCATTCTTTTTAAAAATGAAATGAAATAATTATTTCTGCTTATTATCATGAATTTTAGGAGCGATAAATTTTATGCGCACGTGACCTCATTATCTTGAAAAATAATCTTTTTAATAAAAATTGTGATATTTTATCTATGTTAGAAATTTTGAATGCTGTAAATTAAAAAAATAAATTTATTTATTTTTCTTGTTTATTG